CAATTTTTATGAATCGAGCAGCAGTAAAAATGGCCAACATGGATGCATTGTGCGATTTTATGTTTACAAATCCAGTCGACGAAAAAGGAATTCCACTTGTGAAAGAGGATGAACTGTTGTATTTTGCCGATGTTTGTGCTGGTCCAGGAGGTTTTTCCGAATACGGTAAGTTATACTAAATATAAAAATTTATTTATAAATTTTTATCATTTCTCATTTTTTTAATGGATGTTTTTTTTTTTTTTTTTTTTTTTTGCAGTTCTATGGCGCAAACAATGGGAAGCAAAAGGATTTGGTTTTACATTGAAAAGTGAGAATGACTTTAAGCTTGATAAATTTTTGGCCGGCAATCCAGAAACATTTGATACGTATTACGGTGTGAAAGGCGATGGAAACGTGTATGATCCAGAGAACATTGAATCATTCACGGATTATGTACGGAAACAAACGCCGGTGGGTGTTCATTTAATGATGAGCGATGGTGGTTTTTCGGTCGAAGGCCAGGAGAACGTACAAGAAATCCTATCGAAACAATTGTACGTATGTCAATGCCTAACAGCACTGTCAATCGTCCGCGATGATGGCCATTTTGTGACAAAAGTTTTCGATTTATTCACATCATTCAGCGTGGGACTCATTTATCTCATGTATAAATGCTTTAAAAAGATCAGCATCATTAAGCCAAACACAAGTCGGCCAGCCAATTCCGAGCGATATTTAGTGTGCAAGTGGAAAAAGCCCAACACAGATGCCATTCGACGCTATTTATTCAAAGTCAATATGCATCTCTTCCAAAATCAAAATACAAATTCAGATATCGCTGAATTGGTGCCATTTGAGGTGATAAAAAAAGATGAAATATTTTACAATTACATTTGCCAGAGCAACAACATAATTGGCAAAAATCAAGTGATTTCTTTGCACAAGATTGCCCATTTCAGTGAACACACCAATTTACGCGAGTCACAGCAACAACAACAATGCAAAAATGATTCATTATCCCTTTGGAAACTACCGAATGTACCGAATGTACCGAATAAAATGCGAAAAGCGCCCATAAAACCATCAACAGATCAAATCATAAAAGCTCTCATGGGTAATTGGTATCCGGAAAGACGATCCTTGTTGGAATCAGTTGAAAGAACCCTAACACTTGAAACAAATTTCCACGGCACATTTTTCGATAAATCGGACTGGGCATTCGTTCCGATCGATGTGGTCGAAAATAGCTGCAAAACGATACGAACATTCTTCATGAGCAAGGGCAATTCGGATGTATTTAAATACACGAAAAATGGTTCATGGGAACGGTTGACGGAAATAGTCGTCGAAATTACACCGAATACATTGTTCTATGGCGAAATCGTCAAGGAGTTGAAAGGAGAGAGTAAAGGTCAAACGCATACCTATGCAATGCATATAATTGATGGTATCGTTCTCGGTGGCAAGGACATTCGCAATTTAGGACTGCAGAAGCGGAATCGTCTGTGCCATCAATTTGCCGAATCATTAAATAAACCACAGAAAGAGATCACTATAGT